CACCTCTGACCATATATTTGCCCTGCGCCAGATTGTTGAAAAATCGTGGGAGTACGCCCATCCGGTGTACATGTGCTTTGTTGACCTGGAGAAAGCCTATGACCGGATCCCATGCAGCAGTCTTTGGTCGTGCCTGCGAACATATAGAATCGATGGCCATTTGCCACGGTCCATTCAGTCACTATACTGATGCTGATAGCAGGTGTTGCTGCGTCAAACGTTAATTCGAGTCGTTTTTGGCATTTGCACTGGCCTCCGCTTAGTATGCGTGCTGTTCCGCGTAGTTTGTGTTTTAAATATACATTATAGTAAGATTCAGCGGTCGGTGAGGGTTATGAGTGCACGTGAAGTCTTGAGGGAAGATTGACTGTTTGGAGGAGACATTATTTTTTGCTTCTTCTGAGACTAATACTAGTTCTGTTCCGCATGAGATGCATTGTGAGGAAAACGCCATTAAGAAAATGCGACGACAGGATATGCACGACATTAGCAGAATAGTTGTGAAAGAAATCCAAGCTCTCTGGAAAAGAACGAATATTTTGGAAGTTGTTCTAGTAGAATGTACAGCTAGTAAATCGAAGAGACAAGCTGAAACCTTTGCGATTGGCCCAATGTGACTGCAGTTGCTATGTCATGATGTTTTCTAGTAAACGGTTTCACCTCAAAATTTCTGGAGCCCTTAAACGTTAGTTTTACGTTCCAGTTTGTTTTGCAACCATATTTACCGTAGAAAGGGTATTATTTCATAATTGAATTGTACATCGTTCCGTAGAGAGAGCTGCTTCTAGCTAAATTTAAAAATATCAGATGCCGACTGTCCGCCGAGGACATGAAAAGACTGTAGCGAAATACAATTAAATAGAAGTTGGCGATAAATAGTTTTATATCGCTTTCCATGCACTTTGCCGCTGTGTGACCTGGCTGGACAAACGACGATGGGTGACAAATTCATGCTTCAAGCCGGTGCGGATGTACCCTGTTTTACATCGCAGATTCTCAGATCAGAGGAAACACCAGTTCGAGTCAAGAAGTAGTGGAGAAGGCGTGGCGTTGAGGTGTGCACCGCGCTATACCATAAAATGAGCTGGAACGCGTAACGACTGAAACGCGTGCTGCTGAAAAATGGAATTGCTTGAAGTTGCGTTCAAACAGTCAACTTTACCGACATAATAGCATGCTTGATATACGAACCGTGCCGATTGCAGTTCGGTGCTCGAACGATGATTGTTTAATGTATTTTTAAAGCTGAACGCCTGCCATATCCGAGCAGCAATGAAAACGGCGGTGTTTAACGAAACTGTTTTAAGTTAGTGGACTCAGGCTTGAAGAAGTGCAAAACTGCGACTGTGTCGAACAGCTGATCTCTCTTCCTCTTTATAACGCAAATTCGACTATGTGACATGAGAATGAAGAATGAGAACGGCTGGAGTATTTTTCAAAAAAAATGTTCTTCTTCAGGGAGAAAAGCTGTCTTTGTACTTTAAACGGAAAGTTTCCGGTCAGTGCATGCTCTCGTTACTTTGGGTGTCGTTCGTGGACTCTTGGTATGGAAACTGTTCATGAACTATCGACTACGCAATGCAACTTTGAATGATGTATGTTGGGAATAACAGAAGGATAGGAAAACGAATGAGTAATAAGTAATATAAACATTAACTAGAGTCTGTGATGTCGTTGCCCCAGTGATCACGTTAGCGTGGCAATGCACTGGACAT